TTTTCCAAGCAAGTCATCATTCTTAGCTTTCACTTCTGGAAGTCACCATTTAAGGAATTATTTCTGCAGCATTAGAACTGGATTAACGTGTGTGATTGTGTGTTATCATCATGAAAGTGGTTTTGCTTGAAACTGCAAATATCGTTCGTATGTATAAAGCGCTGTTATCGGGGTATTTTTAATGTTGATGCCCGAGTTTTGTTATTTTTGCACCCGGATCTGTACTGATTTTGGAATATTTCTCATCTTATACTGATTGACTGGCACGAAACAGCACGTGTTAGTGCTGGTGGAGTGGAGAAGTGTCCGCATTCAGGAGGGATCCCATACGGTAAGTAAATGTGCACGTGTTAAGTACTTTTTTCCGCACTTTCTCATAGTTTTCATCCCTGCATAAATTTTGTTACACAAATTTATACCTTCTTGGCACCGTTCAAATTCTTTCTTAAGATTCCCTCTGTCTAACTGCTGTCTCTCCTTCAACTTTGACGCGACATTCTCAAGATTCTTCTTATTGTCTTAACATCGTGCTTGGCGCCACACCAAGGGCATTCTGTTTGTGTGTCTTCACTTTTCCACATGATTCACATGACATTCTAAGGATTTTAACTGTCTAATTGCTGCATATCTCAAACTGTTGATGCGATATTCTCAAGATTCTTGTGGTCTTACGAAGTGTATGGCGCCGCACCAGGTGCATTATCACTTTCGCTTCTTTACTTTCCCAAGTGATTCATATGACAATCTCAACATTCCAGCTGTCTAATTACTGTCTGTCCTGCAACTCTGGCGCGACGCTCTCAAGTTTCCTTCATTCTTGACGCGACATTCACGAGTTTCTTTTTGTCTTACCGTTGTGTATGGCGCCATAACAGGTGCATTCTCACAATCTTCCCACATGCTTCACGTGACATTCTCAAGATTCGATCTGTCAAATTACTGGTTACCATTCAACTTGACGCGTGCTTGCTTCTCAAATTTCCTCAAATTTTTCTGGGTATTTCTCAAGCCACTTTTCGCATTTGACAAGAGATTCTCAACTTTCCTACATGTTTCACGTGACAGACAGATAGATACTGTTGGTGCATACGGTACAACTTTCTATTCTGAACAGTTTACCAGATGATAACACATGGTTCAACTTCATCGAGTGCATCTTTTTTTTTGCGAAACATGTAACATGCATCGGGTAAAGCTTCTTAGATGACAACATATGGTTCAACTTCATCGAGTCGAGTGCCACTTGCACAACTTTCTAGATGATAACACATGGTTCAATTTCATCGAGTGCAACTTTTTTTTTAACCTTGTTTTGTTTTGACCAGTGGCCGCAATGGGACGGTGCAAGGAAGTTCCAGTACGAAACCGGAGTCGCAGAACAGTTTTTCTGGATAAAGAAAAGTCGCCAGTCTTTTCAACACCGAGACCGTCTACTTCAATTACCGGACAATGTCCAAGATGCGGAACCATGGTTTCCAAGCCTATAAGTGCCCACATCTTGCAGCACTGCTCGTATCTTTCCAAGTGTTTCAAAGAATTTGCAGAAAAAGAAGGTTCTGCGGCTAAACGGGCTGTGGAAGCGCTTGAAACGATGCACAATCCTGGAAAACGGTTTGTTAAGCAGTTGGATAAAGTGACCAGTACCTTGGCTCATGGTTCAGGTGTTCGCGCGGCAAGAACCTACCGTGCTGACCAATACAATCGTTATATGACGGATAGAGACTTTACGGACTCATGGTCGCTCAGCAATCTCGCTGCATCGCTGGACTGCGTCAACTTGAAAAGTCTTATTCAGATGCTTGCAACGAAAGGCAGCTTCTTGATTCCTGTGTCAACAACAAACAAGCAAATGCACAAAGATCTTATCTCTCATGTGTCCGTGATGGTGCTACTCAATAACGGTAAAGATTTGTTTCTGGATTTCGATGATGTTATGTCATGTCATGTCTTTCGTAGGCTCAGAAATAAAAATTATGTTCTTCAATCCAAGTGGCAAGAAGTGTTCGTCGAAATTCATTGGCCGCGCTTTTATCGAAGCTGTTCTGGATGAGTCTAAGCCGTACCCTGAGTTGTATAACTTTTTCCATCATCAATGGCCAAAGTTACCTAAAGATTTTCTACACCTGCTTCCGGACAGTGTACAACATGGCGCACCATTATTCAGTGACGCATGCACGCACTTGTCGCGTTATTTTATTCACACCACTTTGGAAAAAGTAAGCATCGATATTTTCTTTTTATTCATCTTGTTAGTATGATTTTTCGTGCAGGTTGTTTCTGGCCAGGATATACGATTTGCCATGCGTGACACAGCTGTTGACATCCAGCTGTTTGGTTGGCAAATTATTTACTCCCGTCATACAACGTTGGAAAAGAGCAATGCCCTGCGCAACAAGATTCAGAAGCAAATCGGATGCCTCTACATTCTTGATTTGACCACTGAACTTAGGTGTGGCGCAGAATTCTATGTGAGAGCAGTATTGTAGTTAACGAAGGGCATCGTTGTAGATCTCTGTCTTCAACATTGAATCAAGTGGATACCGACTATATTGTTGCCATGGATCATGATCCCATGGATGACGGTAACGACTTTGACGATTACGGATATGATTTCGAGCAGTTCTTCAATCCCTATTCACCGCCTGGGACTCCATTTGACTGGGCACAAGTCTACACACCACCGCAATCGCCAGCCACACAATCCGAGGAAACCCATGAACCCATGGAAGTTACTCTGGACAACGTCTTGGATGTGGATGAAAATGTTCAGGCAGGTGGCGCAGAAACGATGGACGTCGTTGTACAGGACAACGACGATGTGGGAAAAGCTATAGTTGCGAATCATGTTCCATCCCAGGAATCACTCAGCCAACCCGTTCAGGATGTCAACGTTCCTAAATCAGGCCAGTCCATACCGTCGGAATCGGACTGGTCCAAAGTTTGTACGCTCCAGAAGATAAGTCACAATCACAACAAAAAGTTAACCACCATCAGTATTTCTACAGCCTTAAGATCAAATCTTTGCCACAAGAGTTTGATACACTAACTTCCCTAGAAGCCTTGCTTGCCTGAAGTGTTCAAAGCAGTGTGGACAACCTGTTCTAAAGATTTTCAGCCCGACGATGTTGTTTGCATAAAAATGTTCACCCGGACTATGGAAAATCCTATGCATTTGAAAATGCAGTTCTTCAGTTACTTCAATCCGCGTGACCTGACAGAAATGGTAATGAAGATTAATTCCGGTGGCCTGTTCTGTATGGATGATTCTTTGCGGCTTGTCATTCAACGTACGGTTATGCCCGCTGGCGGTGCTTGGAAGCGTAAGCACATTCATTCGACACACGATCGGAAACGGTTTGCGCGTTCAGTTGTGCAAGTTGATGTTGAGCACAATCTGTGTTTGCCAGCATGCCTTGTACTCGGCCGATTCTATCACGATCCTTTAAGGAATGCAAGGAACTGGAAGCAAATAACTGATAAAAGAAAAAGGAAACTGCAAAACCTTGCTGCGCAACTAGTAAAGGAAGCTGGACTTAATGTCCGAACCAAGTTTTCCCTGAACGACATTGAGCGTTTCCAAAGCTAAGTCCTTAAAGAGTTCCAGATAAAAGTTATTGGAGCAGAACAAGGTAACATCATCATTGCCAGGTGCCCCAAAAAACAGGGAAAGCTGAAGACCATCTATCTTTTGTACGAAAATGGTCATTTTGATCTGATAACTACGCCATCAGGATTTCATCGACGTGGTTATTACTGTAAGTTGTGTGACAAGCCGTGCGTTCAGAAAGAAAAGCATCGATGTCAAGGTAAATGCACCAAGTGTTATTGCCCAAAGGGAATCTGTACCGAGCCAGAGGCATCTAGCAGAATTCTGTGCCAAGATTGCAATCGCGAGTTCAACAACGACACTTGCTTTGATCTTCACAAGAAAGCTCGCAAAAACGGGCGGCCATATTGCACAGAATTATTTATCTGCCCCAAATGTGGAGTGTTTGTCAGTCTGCTCAACCGCAAGACCAAGAAGCATGAATGTGGTGAAATGTATTGTCACCCGTGTCAAGATTGGGTAGATCAGGCAACGCACAAGTGTTATCTCAAGCCTTTGGAGCCTCGTGTCCACGGATCTAGTTCAAATTACATCTTTTTCGATTATGAAACTTACTTGGACGCAGAGGGAATCCAGCGGCCTTGTTATGTTGTCGCACAATACACGAGCGGAGAAGAATTTCGCTTTCCTCCAGATGGTGTGCCAATACAAGGCTACGACGTTCAGAAAGAGTTTGGCCCATGGGTGTATTCAGAGCAACATCGTGAATACACTTTGATTGCACACAACTTTCGCGGTTACGACGGACACTTCCTGCTTTCGTATCTTCTGGAAAACAATCTCAAAGGGGTTGAAATCATACGACGCGGCAGTCAACTTCTTGATCTCCGTTACCCGGCTTTGGAAATCAAGGCGCGCGACACTCTTAACTTTGTCATGACGAAACTTTCCAATTTTCCAAAGGCTGTTGGTCTGACCGATTGCGAATCCATAGGCGATTTTTCTCATCGCTTTAACAAGCCGGAAAACTGGGACAAAGTGCTTCCGTTCCCCGATGTCGATGAATACATAGTAGACGGCTTCAAGCGAGCGGATCGCAGAAAGTTTGAACAGTGGCACGCAGAAGAAAAGGAAAAGAAAGGTATGTTTTTTTATTTATTTTTTTTTGAATATTTCATGCTTTAAAGGGGTTTTCGATTTTCGGCTGGAAATGTCCGACTACTGTGCAAGGGACGTTACTATACTGCGGAAATGTGCTCTCCAGTTCCGTGAAAATTTCATCAAGATGACCAACGTCGATCCGTTTCAAAACGTTACCATAGCTTCCGCCTGTCAAACGTATTACAAGACCAAACTGCTGAAGGCTAAAGAAATTGCCGTGATATCCGCGAACGGTTATCAGCCAAATTGAAAGACAAGCGCGGAAGCAACGCAGTGGCTTGAATGGACCAGCATGAGTCATCCGAACATCGAGCACGGAAGGAACGGTAAAGAGCGGAAAATCAATCGCTACTTTGTAGATGGATTTGATCCAGACACTAAAACAGTTTACGAATACAACGGCTGCGTACATCACGGACACCCGGAATGCACCAATGAAGACGACCGGGCACCATTCTCTTTGAAGAAAATGTCAGAAGTGTACGAGCAGTGGATACGTAAGAAACTCTTTTTGGAAGGGATGGGTTATAATGTGGAAGAGAAGTGGTCTTGCGAGTCGCTACGTGAAAGAAAGGATCCGGATATACAGCAATTCCTCTTGAACCAGAATCTACGTGATCCACTGCAACCGCGTGAAGCCTTCAAAGGTGGCCGTACCAACGCTTCATGTTTGTTCAGAGAAGTTCAAGAAGAGGAGCAAATTCTACATTACGACATCGTGTCTTTGTACCCGTTCGTCAACAAAAAAGCTGAGTATCCAATCGGGCATCCGAAGATCATCGTGACTAACTTCAAGCCCGTAACGGAATATTTTGGCTTGGTCAAATGCAAAGTTCTGCCACCTGCACGAATTCGATATCTTGTGCTGCCTGCCACGTTCAACGGTAAGCTTGTGTTCACTTTGTGCCGGACTTGTGTTGAGAACGGCATAAACGACTACTGTTCGCATTCCGATGAGGAAAGAAGTTTTGAAGGAGTATTCTGCACTGCGGAATTGCACATGGCGCTGCGACAGGGTTATCAAGTGCAGGAAATTTACGAAGTTTGGCATTGGAACGAGAAGCGTGCGGGTTTATTTCAAGAATATGTGGACAAATTCTTGAAGGAGAAGTTGGAAACAAGTGGATTCCCCGCCGGTTGCACAACGCAACGTCAGAAAGAGTTGTATGTTCAAGAAGTTGCCTTGCGCGATGGAATTGTCCTAGACATTGATCGCGTTGAAGACAATCCCGCAAGACGTGCAGTTGCCAAGTTGATGTTGAATTCATTTTGGGGCAAGTTTAGACAAAGAGACAACTTGCAACAGACGGTGTTCATCTACTCCGTGAAGCAGTATCTGGATTTAGTCAGATCGAAATCTGTTGATATACAGAGCGTTCACGCCGTGACTCCGGAGTGCATGATGGTAACTTACTCGCAGAAAGATGACTACAACGAAGGCAGTAACTGTGCCAATCTTGCCATTGCCGCTTTCACTACCAGCCATGCCCGCATTCAGCTTTTCAAAACCATGGCCAAACTTGGACCGCGTCTTTTGTATTTTGACACCGACTCTGTCATCTTTGTTCACAAAGAAGGCAAATGGCTTCCTGAAGTTGGTAATGGTCTTGGTCAATGGAGCAGCGAGTTGAAATTCGACGAGCACATTGTCCGCTTTGTCTCCTGCGGTCCCAAAGTCTACAGCTATGAAACAAACACCGGTCGAATTCAGCTGTAAGTTAAGGACATGGCTCAGAACGGGTACACGGAAGACATCTTGAACGATGGTCTGCAGCGCACTGGGGAGAAACTTGACTTTGACAAGTTGACTGAAATCCTGAAAGGCGCTACGATGCCGGTACGTATCAGTTATGGTGTTATTCTTCTTTTAGTTCTTATTGATTCCAGTGGTTTAACACAGGTTGTGTACCCTGAGTACATCAAGCGGAACTTTAAAGCTCAAGAAATTTCCACTGTCCGTTTGAAAAAGCATTTTCGCATGGTGTACGACAAACGGGTTTTGTTTGAAGATTTAAACACAGTTCCGTACGGTTTCAAAAGGCCGGTAAGCAAGCGACTGCTTTAGCAGATCAATGTTCAGATGTCTATGCAAGTTATATGCGGTTCGACACTCAGGATAGCACACTTGTAATTCATTATATGTACAGAGGACCCGCAGCCGGCGTGATGGATTTGTATCTGGAGGATGCCACGACCATGTGGTACGAGATCAAGCGTGACACGTACATGGGCTTCCAGAAGAAGTCCAAAGCCATTACCTTCTGCAAGACGTTTTCGACCGAAGGAGACCAGCGCTTTGTGTATACTGCCATGGAATTATCTGCACCGATCGTCGCGCGTATACTGGAATGCATTTCTGACAACACTGTTCAAGAGTTACTGGACTCTTCTGTTCTGAAACGTAAGCCAATGGATCTTTTCTTGCATGGTGACGGGACTGATAACTTGAACATAACATTCAAAACTGGGAGATTCTTCTGCATTTACTTCTCCCAGACTAAGAACAAGCATGTGGTGAAGTTTGCGCATGATAAGTTCTCCAATCTTGCCATCCGCTCGCTCTACTGAAAAAAAAACCTCATCTGTTTCTGTGTTAGGTTGATCTGTCACAGACAATCTGACACGGTTGTAGTTGAGGTATCAGAGACCGGTGACAGATATCAACGTGCGAGTGTTCACTGTTCTGAATTGTCAGATGCAAAAGATGAATGCTATGACTAAAGGTATGCGGGAACTGATCTATCGCGTAAAAAAGTCATCCATGCTGTCTTACTTATTCTGAACGCTGTTTTTCTCACACATTCTGCTAAAATGGTTGTCCCTGAGGATCTTAAGCCTACGTTTACTCACGTTCGTCGTGACTATCAAGACGACGTGGTGATTTATAACTCGAATATGGCCGATGTGAATAAGCGAATTGAAACTTTCTTCGGGAATCTTAACCATTTTCCTGGTTTGGATATCTATTACATGGCTGACGCCGGCTTCTACCATATTGGTGAAGGCCGCCTGCATTGTTTCACTTGTGGCGTAGGACTTGAAGGCTTGCTACCGTTTGAAGATATTAACGTACACCACGCCAGATACAACTGGTCATGCGAGCACTTGAACTATCTTGCCAGTAAGAAGTTTATCAGAAATGTGTTGGACGTCGATGAACAGTTGAGTGTATGGGCTAAAACTCATTGGAATCGAAAAGCGCTGATATTCCGTTGCGATTGTTTCCGATACCGAAGATCATTCAGATGGATCGCACGCTAATTCCGATATGGAACTGGACAATCTGCCGGATGATGCAGTAGTTGTAGCTGTTGGTGGAGTAGAAATATGTCCTCCATATCCTTAATTATGCTATTCCTATGAGCAGAAGTAAATATGACAGATGCATGTAAAGCATTATCTTGCACACTGTTTTTAGTCGATGAAAATTTACACTTGCTTCATTTTTGCACTGCTTGCAGTTAACAATACTGAATTCTCCGTTTACAATGGATTTCCCCGAGCTCAAGTATCAGTTTCAGGACGGAAACGTCAAGTGTTATGAGATCACCAGCAAACCTTCAATGTGGTACGATACTATCGGTAACACTGTCCTTCTGGCCCGCAGCCCTGCCTCTGATGGACTTATGACTGCCAGACAGAAAGGCATCATACTGGACTTACCCGCTATCAACAATCTTCTCCTACTGCTGAAAGAAGGAAAAATCCGACATGGTTTGGATGCAGCATGCATTGGACAATCCCGAAGTATACACATGTAAAGGATGCTGAGAATGCTGTCATCGACATCAGGTTGGCTCACCACACCGCCTTTGGACGCACGATTTCCATCTCCCTTGAAGGGGCCTCGATCATGCTGGGCTACCGGAATTTCCGAAGTGTTTGCAAATTAATCACTCAACTCGTTCCTAAAGCTTAAATAATTCATATGCAGTTTAATTAAAACAAAAAAAAATAAAGAAAAAAAAAGAGGGCGTTGCCCCAAATCTGCGTTATTTCTAGCTTGTCTACGGCCAGGCTGAAAGTAACGTGGTTTTGGGTAGCACTCTGAAAACGGGAAGTTCCGGAATTCTCAGATAGGCGTAGTCTGCTTTTGGATTGGTTAACGGTGAACGGAAATTCCGACTACCGTTCAGTGGTAGAAACGATCGGGTGAAACGTATAAAATGGTCATGTAGCATGTAGCAGAGTATCTGACATCAGTTTTAGTCCATTGTCGGTTTTTCTTGCTTTGCATAAAAATGATTCACCACTTCATAACCGTTGTTGTCTTTGACTGCAAGTTTGATCTGCAGAAAATTGCATCGTCCACCAAGTGTACATCTGTGAAAGATTTTAAGGCGCTTAATCTGACATCCTATGATGGCAGTTATTGCCAAGTTTTCAGTTCAGGCAAAGCAATCATCAATGGCGGCACTTCAGAGAAAAAAGTACGCACATTGTTGAAGCGATACCGTTTCCGTTTAACACACCTTGGTTATTCTGCCAATGTCGCTAGCAAGCGCACTGCAAATATTACGGCCACTTACAACCATCAGCATCCGATCAATTTGTATAAGTTCGCGAAAGCTCCGAAGTTGTATTATGAACCGGAGTTGTTTGACGCGGCCAAAATGCGATGCGCCGATTTGGGTATAACCGTAAAAGTTTTTAGTTCGGGTATGTGTACGATCTTAGGCGACAAGAGTGTGAAAGCAGTGGATATTTGCATTGACCGTCTTCGAGCCACGCTGCCATCCAATCCATCGCCGTCTCCTGACTTCGATGTAAGTGCCGTGCGCAAGAAGCGCAAGTCCATTAACTCTGACATTGATGAATTCGTGCGCGAGCTGGAGGCAGAGATGATGCGTGAATCAGAGGGTAGAACAACCGTTAGTCAAGGCACACAGACTACGCCTCGTAAGCGAAAACGATCCATCCCCCACAAGATTGATCTTAGCCAGACAGTACAGCCAGAAAAGTGCAACGACATGGAGGATTGGCTGCAGGCAATTGAAAAGTGCGGAAAAGAGGAGCCAGCCCTTGCGTTGACACAGTGCGATAAACTGGTTGCGCAATGGGGAAAAGATTCCAAAGAAACTGACCAAGTCGCCATGGAGCACGAGGAGAAGTTGGAAGAACCCGTATTCACTCTAACACAGTGCGAGAAATTAGTTGCACATTGCCCCAATAGATCCAGCGATGCCTTTACTTGGCCAGATGACATCTTCTAAATGTACTGATTCGATGTGCACAGTTCATACTTTTGCGAAGTTTTTCATGTCGCAAACTTGTAGTTTTTCGATTTGCTTTTTCCATAGACTTTGCATGTAATAATGTGACTTTTCTTGCACTTTTCCGATTGCAGTTTTGGTAGTTTACTGAACACATTTTTCTAATACGAATAACTCCCGTTTTTATCCTGAAAAACTGCAAAAAAAAAGAGAGCTGAATGCTCCAAATCGGTGGTAGTTTTAACTTGTCTGCGGCCAAGTTGAATCTACTGCTGTTTTGGGAATTTGCTCATTAAGCCAATCTTCAAATCAGAATTACGTACAATCATCTCAGTACTGTTTTTAGGAAATTGAACTTGTAAACTTTGATTTTCGCTTCAAAACACCATGCTCGGTGTATGTGTGCGGACCAACAATGTCTGGTAAATCTACTTTGATAATGCAGTTACTTAAAGCACCGCATGCACACTTTTACCCGTGTCCGAAACGTATAGTGTACGCGTACGGAACTTGGCAGAATTCGTTTAAAGAGTTTCCTTCGTCAATTGAATTAGTTTCTGACTATAACAAACTGTTCGATGATGAATTTTTCAATCCAAATGTCCCAACGTTACTGATACTTGACGATCTAATGGAAGAATTAGCCAACAATGTAAAAGCCTCAACACTGTTCACGCGAGATGTGCACCATAAGAATGTCACTGCTGTATTTATATCGCAGAACTTGTTCAAACAGGGTAAAAGCATGCGCGACATTGCTTTGAATGCCCAGTACTTGATTTTGTTCAAAATTGTGAGACATCCAACAAATACGTGTACTGAGTCGACAACTAGGGATGAAACATTTGGAAAATGCGTATAAAAAGGCCATTAGGGAACAGTATGGCTATTTAATTGTAAATTTACGACCTGAAACTCCGGACAACTTGCGACTTCAATCACATATTTTTGCTCATCGGCGCATCTATACAGAATGAAACCGAGTGAAATTTTCGACTTAGTGCGTGCACTCCAAACTATGTCACCCATTCAGCGTAGGGGCTTTTTTGCACATTGCACAAAGAAACAAGTCAACGCCATAGAGAAGGCATGTTTGAATCTGTTGAAGAATCCAGCTGGTCTAAGCAAATCACAACTCCAGCAAGCGAGAAAGTATGCAACAAGCATTAAGCGACCGGCCAGCCATGATGTTCCACGAAAACGGAAAAAAACAGATTTTACAGCAAAGAGGTGGATTTCTCGGTGCTTTATTGCCAATTTTAGGAACTCTGTTATTTACATTCATTGCAAAATGAAGACGTATGTACTCGTACCAGAAAGTGAATACAATACGGTGATGAAGCCGTGTCCAACACCATGGACAAAAGCTTATCAAATTAGCAGCGAGATTGAAAGGCATTTAACACATGGTCCAAAGATCACTGACGCGCACAAACTTGATGATTCATCAGAGCCAGTAGTACCGCAGATGCCTGTACAAATGCCAATCCATGCAGATATTCCG